TCTCTCTCTCTCTCTCTCTCTCTCTCTCTCTCTCTCTCTCTCTCTCTCTCTCTCACACACACACACACACACACACACACACACACACACACAGGAAATGCGGCAACGAAAAAGAAAACTGGATACAAAGATCACCCCATGTGGCCCCCCACCCTCCCCCAGCTACTTTGCGCTAACTCTCTCCCCATCCTCATCCCCCATCTCTCTCTCTCTCTCTCTCTCTCTCTCTCTCTCTCTCACACACACACACACACACACACACACACACACACACACACACACACACATTGTGTTCGTACGCGCGTGTTCTCACGTGCGTTCGTTCGTTTCTGCGTGCGTGCGTTCGTGGGTGGGTTGTCATGTTCGCTATGCACAACTCCACAAAAAGAGCATGATTGAGCCAGACTGTGTCATTGGACTCCACAAAAAGAGCATGACTGGACATCGACAGTCTGCCCACAATGCAATTGCACGCTTGCATGTGCGCATGCAACCGTGGAATGCCATGTTCGCTACCCGCAATTCCACAAACGCAGGCATGCCTGAGAGAGAGAGAGAGGGAGGGAGAGAGTTTGTCCTCGACCGTGAGTAACAGCCGTCAGTCACACAACTGGGTTGAACGATGCAGTGCGTTCAGGAGTGTGCCCGCCTAGAGTCGTTTGTCGGCTTCACTAGGTGCGTTAGACGTGGGCCGTTAGACTGGAGTAGGGCGAGGGCGCCGCCCTGCAACGGGCCAACGCCCAACAGGTACCGGGCGGTTCTTTCACGACGAGCCCTTTTTGCAACCGCCGCGACGATCCAGGCCATCTGCGGTCCTACCAGGCCGATGGCTCGGATTCTCCCAGGATCTTAAGACTCTAAGATCGCGCGACTATTCAGGCCGTCCGCCCCGCCGGACGGCCTGGATCATCACGCGATCTTTAAGTCTTAAGATCGCACGAAAATCCGGACGGTCGGGTCGGTAGGATCGCGGGCGGCCCAGATCGGCCAATTCTCATGTTAGTGATTTCTGTAAGTGTAGGGATAACATTAAGGTCCGTGTGAGCACTACGTCCCGGTCTGAAGCCATGTGAATAAGTGGAAAAGCGGAGTTCATAAATAGGTTCTAAGATCATTCTAAGAACTTCTTGTACGATCCTGTCCTGGAACCATGATACTCCCCATGGACGCTTTTCGTTCTTCCCAGCGGAATACGAGTTGCTCCCCATTCAAATTCTCCTTTAACTATCGCGTCTCGAAGCTGCAAAAGCTTTTCAAGCGAGTTTGCCAATTTCTTTAACTACGATATTCAAAATTTTTGGATTCATTTTTAAGATTGAGAACATTCTCAATTGACCATGAAAAACTTTTCGGCTTTTTCGAAGACTCTTAGAAGAAAAGCTATATGACCTTTAATTGCTACAACGTAGCCTCCATTTACTGGATTCAAAAAAAAAACCTTTTATGCGATTATTGTCACTTTGCAATAACCCATGCCATATGTCTCGTGGAATTTGAGGGTCACTTGAGGGCCTACTTGGCCGCCCTCAGCCTAGGCCAAAACAGGGAAAAAAGACCCCACACGAATTCAGGGCCTGGGCGTGTGACAGTTGACTTTAATCAACTGTCGGCCCACCCAACAGTCAAAGTCCAAAGGTACATAGCCCAGGCCGCTGGTCAAGCACACACACTTGTTTGTATGCATGTACCCAGACAACATCAGGTCCACGGGAGAAGTCTGCAACTATACAATCCGGGCCTTCAGCTGTGAGTCAATCTGGACGACTGTGAGAAAAGCACCCAAGGCCAGATAGCCTCGACATCTGTTATTTAAGGATGGCCTCGAGTGGGTCAAGTCTTCATTCTTGCTATGCTGTTTTGATGCTAGCTCCACTTTGACTAGACGCTGGCTTCATGCTGGCGTGACGCTGGCTACATGCGGGCTGTACGCAAGCGTTGCGAATGACAGCGCAAGGTGGAGGCAGCATGCTGGCGTTTGTTCTGTGCGCCAGGCAATGCTGATGTGGCGCTACCTATGGCCTACATTGCATGCTGAAGTGGCGCTACCTATGGTCAACTGTTACATACTGCATTCCACACGGGCCCTTTCAGGCCCGACGACTAGGCTGAGGGATTCCGAGGGCCTGGACGCGATAATCCAGGCCAGGCCGGCCCAAAGGCCAGACCTTTCTTAGGCCTCCCTTTTGGCCTTACGCAACCGGTTCGAGACAGGCCCTGCAGCCGCAGGCCCTGGGCGGGAAATGGCCAAACGTTTTCGTTTGGACCAGGCCGCCGTTGAGGCAGCCTGCTTCCCGAAAACCGGTCCGACCTGAACCACGGATCGGACGACAGATCCGACGGTTCAGATCGGAGGCACCTTGGGAGGCAGAGGCCGAATTGGCCGCCGGTTTAAAATTCGTTATTGATAATTATTAACGTTTATTGATTGATGATTATTTATTATTCATTATTCCTTATTATTTTAGTTATCATTTCGTAATTAAATTGTTCCGGGGGGGAATATCATTTTTTTTCCCCTTCCTCTTTTGATTAGGAGCCCAGTCCACATTGGGACAGGGGACTGCACTCCCCATACTCTGTGACCACCGAGGTCTCCAAGTACCACATCAGCCCACACTGATGTCGACGGAACAGGACACCGGGGCACTGCCACGACGCAGTGCCAGGCTCGCAGTTCGTGGCCACTCTGTGCTACCTCCACGGCCGAAGTATCAGCAACAACGACTCAGCAGACGAGCAACTCCAGCGGCATCCAGTGCCAATGCAGTACCGGTCACCGCAGGGATCCTTCCTGCCTGTCTGGTCCAAGGGGACCACGAGACTTTGGCAGCTAACCTTCAGCGGGTGCAGGCATTCACAGATGCCGTGGCCACAGCAAAGGCACAGCAAGAGGCAGCAGAAGCAGAACGTCAGCGGCTTGCCCAAGAGGCGGCTTGCCCAAGAGGCGGCAGCCCAAGCTCAGCGGACTGCTGAGGCTGATGCAACGGCTCGAGATAGGCGGAATGCAGCCAGTACTGAGTCTCTGATTCAGAATGAGAGTCAGTGGACAACAAAACTCCAAGGCATGATCTTTGTGCCTAAGGACGAGCAGGCGGATCCGACACCAGCGGAGGCAGAAAGGAGTAACATGGCTAACTTGATGTTGGGTATGATGAGGGTGGTAACGTGGAACAATACGATGCAGATTGCGCACGTGCAAACTGGACGGCAGCTGAGACAGACTCAGCAGAGAAAATCTGCAACTTGGACAGCCGCCATCCGTGCAGCAACACAGCATCAGCAACAACAGCAACAATTGTCGGCATCCACTATCACACGCGTCAACAGCATCGAGGCTAAGCCCTCAGCAGCGCCAGGCTGCACGGCGGATATAGCGAAGCAGCTCGGAGAGCGCATCGACCATGTCGTCAAAATCATCAGCGATCTAGGTGACTTTACCAGTCCAGCATTGATCAGCAGCACGGTGGCCGCCATCAAGACAGACATCACCAAACTGCAGGCACGACCAGAAGCCGCCTCGAAAACATACAAGATGCCATGCTTCAACATCGGGAAGTTTGACGATTACAAGAAAACAGACGCTTCGGCATGGTGGCATTCCTTCATCACTGAAGCAGCCTGCCACCACGTACCAGATTACCTGATGATGACTGCACTCTACCTCCAACTTATTGGAGGAGCACAGACATTCATGAACCATCTGACGACCAATCTGGGAACCACCATTGCCGACCTGAACACGCACATCACATGGGAGCAGCTCGAGAAAATGTGGCACACTCGTTTCATGGTGCGGAATGTAGTTAAGGTGGCCATGAACGAGATCTACTCCAGCTCGCAAGGGAACATGTCAACACGAGACTGGACGATCAAGTGGCAGAAGATAGTAACCACTCCAGGGTTCGACTTAAGTTTCCCAAACCTGCGATCCAAATTATTTTCGCGATCGTGTGCAGGACTGCGGTCGGCACTTGGTAACGAGTACGACTATGCCTCATTCCAGGGCGTCCTTGACCGTGCTAACCTGGTCATCCAAACTGATGACAAGGACGACAACGAAAGGCAGTCCCAGCCACAATATTTGGCTAAGCAAGGCTACCAACGGTCGGCGCATAACAATGCGGTGATCGCTGACCGATCACCTGATCTCCACACTGCAGCATCCTCCTTGAGTGATGGAGGAGTTGTCGCAGCGCTCCCGCCGAAATGTCCAAAAAGGGTTCGGAAGAACAAGGCGACACAAGGGACGACAGAGACGGAGACTAGGCAGCAACCATGGACGACGTACAACATCACCAAGGAAGTATTAGAACTTCGACAGCGGTATGGGTATTGTTTTTGGTGCAACAGTGTAAACCACACTACGGCACAGTGCCCGGACAATGGCAAGGCAAAGGTACCTCGTCCAGCTAACTCGGGAAACTGATTTGCGCACGGAGAGGGGCGACGCCTCTCCACACTCCGCTGGAACCGGTTGCCTTGCTAGCAACCAATATCATTGCTGGGGAGCATGCGTTAGTTGCTGATTCTCGTGATATATACGAGGATTATGCTGCCCAGCTGGTACCACCATTGGACCAGCCTAGCCACATGCACCTAGATAGAGTATGCGTACCTTGTACACTGTCGGCAAGAGAACCGGTTAGCTCGCCACTAATTTCTGAGGACTCGACGGCGTGGTCAAGGCTCGAGGACCTCGGCCCGCTCACGAGAGAGGACTTCTCTTGGATGCCTCTATCCTCGACCGGATCCTTGCCAAAGCCGCATTGTAACGCCTTGATGGAAAATCTGCGCTCCTACTGGCACGTTGCAGTACCAGTTCCGTTGACGGACGACGGAGTAGCGGTTGTTGATCTCCACTTCTATCTTGCAAAGATTGACTGCGAGTACGCCACCCAAAGGTACGTTGAGACCGACGCTCCTTTGCTCTATATCCGCATTCAAATCGGAAAGGCCACTTGCAGTGCCTTGATTGATTGCAGAGTGTCTCGCAACTTTATCAGCCAAGCCTTTATGGCACGCGCAGGCCTCGGCCCCCACCTACGCAAGCCACACTTGTGGACAGCCGCACACAAAAATCAATTGACTTATGCATTGACGACGTTCCAGTGTACTTTGCGCCCCTTGCATCCGACCCGGTGTCTTTCGACATCCTCGACACCAAGTTCGACATGATTCTAGGCATGTCTTGGTTGCGTAGCGTCGATCATCCGGTAAACTTTCATGATCGAACCGTTCACATTCGTGATCGGAACGAAGTGTTAGTCCCGTGTACGGTAGCGACTCCTCACACTTCGATTGCTTGTCACGTGGTTTCCGTCGCGAGTATTTGTGACGCCATAGCTCAGAATGACATAGAGGAGATGGGAGTTGTTTTCCTCCACGCCCTCCCCTCGACGGACGGACCAGCCGCGTCGCCGCCGAACCCACGCATTACTCACCTCTTAGACGAAAATGGAGACGTCTTTGAGGCTCCCACAGGAACGGTCCATATGTCACGGGATTATTGTCGAGGCGGGTGTCGTCCCTCCGCGTGGATACATTTACCGCATGAGCGAAGAGGAACTTGAGGTGCTTCGCGCACAACTCGACGACCTTCTCGACAAAGGCTGGATTCGCCCTAGTTGTTCGTCATACGGGGTGCACCGGTTCTCTTCGTACAGCAGAAGAACAAGGACCTACGCTTATGCATCGACTATAGAAAACTTAACACACAAACCATAAAGAACGCCGACCCTCTCCCTCGGATTGATGATCTCCTTGAGCGGTTGGGCGGCGCGACGTACTTCTCGAAGTTGGACTTGAAGTTGGGTTGCCACCAGATTGAAATCCAGCCTCAAGACCGATACAAGACCGCCTTCAAAACACAGTATGGGCATTTTGAGTGGGTCGTGATGCCATTTGGACTCACCAATGCCCCGACAACCTTCCAAGCAGCCATGACGACCGAATTCTGAGACTTGCTTGATTGTACTGTCCTCATCTACCTCGATGATATCTTGGTTTATAGTAGGACGCTTGACGAGCACCTCGTACACCTTCGTGCGGTTTTGGATCGTTTGCGAGCAGCCAAGTACAAAGCAAACCATGACAAGTGCGAATTCGTCAAACAAGAGCTAGTACTTAGGCCATTATGTGACGCCGAAAGGCATTCGTCCTTTAGCGGACAAGATCCAAGCCATTGTGGATTGGCCGGAACCCCATTGCATGACGGACGTACACTCTTTCATGGGTTTGGCTGGATACTATCAACGCTTCGTCGAATCGTACTCCACGAAGGTACCATTCCAGTTCGACGACGCAGCTCGTGGCGCATTCAATACGTTGAAGGCGACGATGCAAACCGCGCTAGCCTTCCATATTTATGACCCCACCCTACCCACCCAAGTTGCTACGGACGCTTCCCGGTACGGTATTGGTGCGGTGTTAGAACAATGCCACCCGGACGGTTGGCACCCGGTTGAGTACTTCTCCCAAAAGGTGCCTCTCGTCAACACTCTCGACGATGCTAGGAAGAAAGAGTTACTCGTGTTTGTCACCGTTCTCAAACGGTGGCGCCACTTTCTTCTCGGTCGTCGACGTTTTAAATGGAACACGGATAACAATCCGTTGACCTACTACAAAACGTAGGACACGGTCACTAGCACGATCGGTCGATGTAAGTCGATGGATGTATTACATCGACCAGTTTGACTTTGACCCATGCCACATTCCCGGTCCTGCCAACCGAGCAGCGAACGCCCTCTCACGATGGCCCGATTTTTGTGCCATAGTGACAACGACGTTCCAACTCGACGACGATCTGTAGCAGCACTTTGTCAACGGCTACAAGTCCGACCAGACATACTCCACGCTCTACGGGGAGCTTTCATCGGATCACCCGCCGGCTGGTCACTATCCTATCTCCGACGGGTTCTTACTCCTCCACACGAGAGGAAATGACTTGCTAGTGGTGCCCTAAGATCGCATCTTACGGACTCGCCTCCTTGGCGAATTCCACGACGCACGACTTTCGGCACACCTAGCAGTGACCCGCACATTGGCCCGCCTCCGCCAGCGTTTTCGCTGGCCCGACGTTCTTCACGACGTCACGAGGTACATTGAGTCATGTGCAGTTTGCCATCGTAACAAAGGTAGATCTCAGGTCCTTTATGGCGAACTGAAACCGATGCCAATCCCTTTGGCACCACCCTCTCCATTGCTATGGATGTTACAGACCCGTTTCCCCACGATCGCCTCGGTCATGACGGTATTTTCACGGTCGTTGACCGTTTGAGCAAGTACACTCGTTTTCTTCCATGCAAGTACCGTGCTACAGCCCCCAAGCTCGCATGACTCTTGCACATCGACTGGATTACCTGCCATGGCGTTCAGGAAGACATTGTGAGCGACGGAGACACTCGCTTCATGTCAGCATTTTGGACTTCCCTCATGACGGAGTCCGGTTCGACTATGAAGCCGAGTTCCGCACGACACCCCCAGATGGATGGGCAGTTGGAACGAGAGCATCAGACCCCGCTCGAATGATGTTACGTACACTCATTCGTCCCGACCAGAAAGATTGGGTTGACCGGCTTCCCGACCTCGAGTTTGCCTATAACAATCTGCATCACTCCATTCAAGTTGCATCACGCCGGAGAGAAAGCCTGAGTCTTTGCCGATCTTCTTTTACCACGGGCCGCCAACATCGACGTTGCTTGCTCTCCCGCTTCCGTTTGGAAGTACCAGGACTTGCTGATCAAAGCCCGCGTGAACATGCAAAAGGCTCAAATCCGCATGCAGCAGCAAGCTAACCGACGTAGACTCCCATATCCTTTCCGCGAGGGCGACCTTGTTTGGGTCCTTGCTGAGGAATTCGTGCTGGAGCAAGACGTCTCGCGAAAACTCCTCCCGAAATGGTTTGGACCATGGAAGGTAATTTCTGCAGCAGGTGACGACCCCGCTGGCCCTTCCTTTGTGATTGCCATCCGACCGCACCTCCGCGTGCACCCGGTTTTCCATGCGTCAAAGCTGGACGTGTATACGCCACCTTCCGAGGATGAGTTTCTGCCCGACGATCACAGGATCCGGCCTCTATGGACGGACATCAGAAAGTTGACTGCGTCATCACGCATCGCAAGTACTGGAACAAGCCAATTCCATACCAAGTCGCATTCAAGCAATGTGCCCCGGATGACACGCGTTGGATCTCCTGCGCAGATTTACAGGCATCTGCACCACTCATCTTTTCTGACTACGAGAACCGGTGACTCGCCAAGGACAAAGTTCGTCCCACCTGACCCACCCAGGTATCGGACAGACATCTTCGCCCGCAGGTAGCTCGGTCTTTTGAGGGGGGGAATGTGTTACATACTGCATTCCACATGGGCCCTTTCAGGCCCGACGACTAGGCTGAGGGATTCCGAGGGCCTTGACACGATAATCCAGGCCAGGCCAGCCCAAAGGCCGGACCTTTTTTAGGCCTCCCTTTTGGCCTTACGCAACCAGTTCTAGACCAGGCCCTGCAGCCGCAGGCCCTGGGCGGGAAATGGCCAAACGTTTTCGTTTGGACCAGTTCGCCGTTGAGGCAGCCTGCTTCCCGAAAACGGGTCCGACCTGAACCACGGATCGGACTATAGATCCGACGGTTCAGATCGGAGGCACCTTGGGAGGCAGAGGCCGAACTTTCCGCCGGCCGGTACTTGGGCCCACTCAACGGCCATTTCGGGGACCTCAGAGGAGAGCAGCATTGAGGAATGCTGCTGCGCTATTTCGGTTCAGCGCAGCGCTGGACAGCAGCGCTACGTGTGGCGCTGGCTGTAGGGAGAGGAGAGAGCGAGGAGGGAGACTTACCCGACAGCAGCCACAAGGGCCATAGCTCCCAGCCGCACAACCATCTCCTGCAACAGCCAAGTCGCCACCTTGTACCATCGGGTAGGGCCTAGAGCTACTCGCCATCTCCACCAATGCTCTGCCCCTCTTCTCTTCTTCTCCTTTAGACTTCTCTTCTTCTTCTTCAGATTTCTTCTTCTTCTTCTTCTTCTTCAGACTGGAGACTATTGATGCGAGTTGGACAGAGATCAATGATTGGAGTTCGGTGGTAGGAGGCTGTGATACTTACTGGATTCGAGACATTGGAGATAATTGGGAGTGATACCTGGCGGCATCACAGATCGGGCATCGGTTACATTTGGATTTTGTACCTCTGACATTGGTGACTTATGTCTACGACATTCTGATTTTGTTCGGTCACATTTTGGGCTACCATATCGGTGACTTTCTGGATTCTATCTCGGTGACATCTGGCGCTGCCCATCTCTCCCACCTCCATCGTCTCTCCTCCCACCATTCATGTGTGTATGGTTGTACGGGGCCTAAAGCATCGTCAATGTATGGCTTCAGACCCCACCATTCCACGATTGTTTGTGTGTTGCGTGATGTTTGGGTGAGTTCAGTTTATGTGAGTCAGTCCGCTGCATACATGTTCATGCTATATTGGTTGATCTTTGGTTCTGC